AGGCCAAGAAGCGGCTCTTGCCAAAGTAGTTTATTTCCATCCGGTGGCTAATACGCCCGAGCTGCCTGGGAGCGTTTAGATAACAATGGAGTATAGGCGCGGTGGTGTGCATATATATATAGGTGCGAGGTAGCTCTTCTGTTTTTTTTTTTTTTTTTTTTGTTTTTTTACAACGGTGGATTAAAAATTTGGGGCTCGAGCAAATGATTCATTCATACGCACGACGAGGTATTAATCGCCGTCAAATTTGCGCCTTCTCCTCGTGCGTTCCCGCTTTTACGGCCGAAACGTGAAAGTTCGTAAATTTCGTCGATCCGCACGCGCTGTGGAACAGAAACGAGATACGAGTGAATCGCCGGCGGCCGTGGAATTGGAAAACACTATTTCGCGAGCAATAAAAGCAATCTATTTTGAAATGGATGGGCTCCATTTGTTCCACGCGCGCGCGGGGACGCTCTCGCTGTGCAAACAGACAGAGAGCCACGGGATGAGGGGGGGAGGGGAAAATATTATAAATTATCAGGAGGCATAATTGAAATGGATTCGTGACACTCGCGGGAGAGCAAACAAACAAACAAACAAACAAAAGCGTGTCGTGCATCGACTCGATATAGTTGTTGTATCGCGCGCTTCTCCTCCTAATTGCGATAAAATGTTTGATCGCACTCGGTGCAAGATCCATCATGCTGTATCTATCGGGTTTACAGGTATACACTCTCCAATGCGTATGCAAAAAATTGTTTGGGCCCAACTTCTCGAGACAAAGAAAAAGAAGGGGTGCTCTTGTGTTGTATTCAGCAGCAACGGAGGAGTGACGGAGTGCAGATTTTTTTTTCCTCCCCCCGACGAATAATCAGCTGCACGCGAAAACTCGGGAAAGCCGACACCCAGTGTCCCCGAGCAGCTATAACAAAAACAAAACAGTCTCGGTATGCGTGTGTGTGTACACACGTTGCCTGGGCATCAGCACTGCGCAAATGGGTAAAAAAAAATGTGGGGGCGGAAGACAGATAGGATAGCCGAGAGCACGCGCACATTCCCCGACGTCGTAGCGTTGGAGTTTGCTGTGCATGTAGGGGGATGAGAGAGAGAGAGGTATGGTCCGACAAAAGGGAGATAAATAAAACGCGAGCGCGCGCCAAACAAAAGGATAGCTCGCACCACCGACGACACTCGAAGCTTTTTCTCCCCCGAAAAACACAGACAACAAAAAAGGATGCGAATTGGGTGAGGGATGAAAAAAAGGTGAGCGAGTGGGGAGGGGTGGGGTGATCGAGCGAGAAAAAAAAGAGGTGATTTTGGGATGGAATCAGGCCTATTTGCCAAAGGGGGCCCGTCGAGCTCGAATCAACATGTTGCTTGGACGCGCCGCCTCTTTCCGGCTTTACACAGCTCAGTGGAGGGCCTGTTGTGCTCCGCGGATGTACAACACTTGCGCCACAGTAAAGAAAGGGGCAGGACGGGAGGGACGATATCCGTCCAGTTGGCCGGAACTGCTTCGAGCCGATCGCGCGGAATAAAAACTACCCTCGGCCCCTCCTCCTTCCTGTGCCTGCGATGATCTTCTTCCTCCCGCACCTCCTTCTCTTCTTCTTCTTCTTCTTCTTCTTCTTCTTACTGCACTTGCTGGACTGTGAGATCTTGTATTCGTGGTCTGTAGGCTGTTGAGCTCCCGGATTTGTTCCGTGTTTGTGAGCTCTCCGTGGAAATCTTTTGTACGGTTCATGAGCCTTACATTATACAGGTACAATGATGACTTGATTGTTTGCCTCGACACGAGTGAATGATCTACTTACCTTGATTCTTTAGTGATGAATAATAACGTGTCTGACCATGCATTGGTTGTGACTACTTTTCTGTTGGTACGTAATGTTTATTGTAGAAAAGAAAATTAGGAAAGTATGTCATGTCTGACCATACGTTGGTTCAAACTACTTTACTGATTTTAGACTTTAATTCACAATCTGATATTATGATCGTTGCCCGCGTGTTGAAAAATAATTGAAAAATCATTCGTCTGAGCATACGTTGACCAATACTATACTTATGAAATTCAAATGCTCATTGGAAATCGTCTGTAGCGAGCCTCAACGATAGATAAATTTGTCCGTGCACTGTTTTTGTTACGTACATTAACTGTCATCAAACTTTTAATTCACACCGCCAACAGAGCCATTAATCACGGCAAGAAAGTTTTTTTTCCCCTCTAATTATCACAAATAAACAACCCGAGGGAAACGCGCACCTACGTACAACATTTTAGGTTTCAACGCCTCTGCAAAACAAGTTTAGCTAATTATACCCCGATGTCACGGTTAAATCGGACAACAAACTTTTGTTTGAAAATTTCACCGCTGAAACGTTGTTTTTGTGCAAAAGAAATTTTTTTAATTACACTTGTCCCTCGTGAACGAAAGTTTCAGCTCGTTTCGGACAGTTAAAACTCATACGCTATATACGTTCACCTATATATACAAGACTCCACCGTGAATTTCATACCAAAACCCACGTTTTAATGACGTAGATGCGATAATCAAATTCACGTGCAAACGAATTAACGTTCACTCCACTCAGCACATATAAATAATTAATCAGGGAAATGTACAAAAAATTTATTATTATTCATACAGAGCATTCAGTAGCGCATTACTCGCGTAAAATTTAACGAGCTCGTTCGTAACAAATGCAGCTTAATATTCATCCCTGGTAAGCGCCGAGGCATCATGAAAACACAATTAACAGTTCCTGTACACGTAAAATTTAATCCCACGAAAAAAGTGAAGGGACGAATGTATGTAAAAAAAATAATAATACGCCGACAACGTATTTTACCAATTTCCTGCGATAAATCCCAACGAACAAAAGCGGACTTGCAAACGAGAAAATGTTTTTTGAAAAAAGTGGATACATGCATTGCGCCATCACTACTGTACTCGATGCAGGAGAACACCAGCTTTGATCGTGGATGCACAAATGATACCTAACAAAGTCCAACTGCTATTGTACACGTAATAACGGCTCTGCAGAGGCAACCCAGAGGATCGGCCTACAGACACATTTAATTGGTGCACTTGGGTAACCTTGGAAGAGAAAACAGGAAGACGGCACAAAAAGAGCACGGGTGGGCTGTAGAGACATGCATGGGGACCCAATAAAGGCAGATCCGAGACACCCTTGCCCTTTGCTCCTTTCTGTCGGCGATCGTTAATGAAAAAGGCTAACGTTAACGACGATGACGCGAAGGAGAATACCAGTGTGTACGGAAGGGACACACGAGGACTCTCGGGGACAGCAAAGGGAGAGAAAGGGCTGCGAGTACAGAGGAGTGACACCCATGTTCTTCTCTGGACTGTATTTTAAGTTACGGTACGGCCTATCCTGTTACACTGGCTGTCTGCGGGATTTCCCGTCCTGGTATTTAATCACGAGCTGTCGGCAGATGTGTGCAAGCTCGGAGATGGAAATGCGGTAAACAAGGGTGGAAGACCAGAGTTTTGGTTATTTGCCTGCGCCCGAGGGCTCGATATTAGTTTTCTCCCGGTCGTTGCACGTGTGTGGCCGTACGTACGGGGGTGAAATATGTACGTCCTTTTCCTTGGGATCGTCCTGCATTTGCGGGGTGAATTTTTTTTCGATTGCCTTTGACGTTCGAGCGTATCGTTTATTGCAAAAGTTGCCTCGGATTATTAAACTTTTCTCACTCACGAAACTCCGATTTCAGACGATTTTTTTCCTTTTCCTGATCAAATGAAAAATCGTGAATGGTATAGCTTCCAAACGTAGCTACCTTTTTAATTGAGAATATCCCCAGTGGAGGATGGGCATTGCCATTGTTTGTACGAATCACTTTATTTTGAAAAGCAAAGGTGGGTGCACGCGGAAGAAAAGAAAATAGTACTTAAATTGCTCATTTTCGAAAAAAAAAAAAAAAAAAAAAAAAAAAAAAAAAAGCTTACAAAGAGCAGAAGAGCAGAAAAATGAAGGATAGCAAAAACACGGGGTAGACGATACGGTGGAAAAATCAGGTAGGAGGGTGCTCCTCTGTTGCGAAGAAAAAAATAACAAGCAAAACACGTAGGTCGGATTTCTGTGTAGAGTCGCTCTGTTGGAAACAATGGGAAATATAACGGGGCTCCAAGCGGTGTTTCAAACGAAGGAGATTATGCTTCCTTTCTCTCGTCATCGTTCGAGGAAAAATCTCCCAAGATGTTACTCTCGCGCTTTTTCTTCATCCACCCGCTCGAGGAAAGCTCTGAAAGGAGCGGCGGATTGAAATGCTATTTGCTTCCTCTCGCCCCCTTGTCCTCTTAATACACCTTTCGTGGCAGTGTACTCTCGACAGCGGTGGTGTGCAGGCGGCAACAGTCGTGCTCGAGCCGAGTCGAGACTAATTTGTTTAGCTTTGCTTTTGTCCGACGTGGAATTAACCGCTCGAGCTCTCGTATTTTATTATCCCTCTGTCGCTCACCATCCATATTCTTTTGTTTTTTTTTTATCCCTGAAGATTACCATACACTGAACGTAATTACTCCGTCGTTTCATTTGTACAGGCGATTTTTTTTTTCCTTCCCCTAGTCTAGCTAATAACTATAAAGGTACTGAGCGAGTAATCGAGCAAGTTCCAGGAGTAAATTGAATCACCTCGGGGAGACACGACGTCAACCAACGTAAATTTCAGCTCTTAGACATCGTCAATTTACCCCGACCCTTCAACTTAATTTCAAAATTTTCTCTCGTCACCGCTACCCCTTCGTATACATCGTTACCCGCGGTATACCCAATGGACCCCCAAGAAACATGGCAAATAAGAGTAGATGTGCCAGAAAAATCCACTCACAAAAAAAAAGTGTCCAATCAGCCCTCGACGGGTTTAATCGGAGAGAAAAATGCCATTCCCTTGCGACATATCCGGCTAATCTCGACTGGATTGAAACCCTTTCTCACTCGCAAAGACAGACACCCCCCCCCCCCCCTATATAAAATATCCATGGACAACCCACCTTTCCGGCGGACCGAAGCTAGTTTCCATCGGGTGGCGATCCTAGAGCTCGTCCATCGGTAGCTCTCCGCTGTCCCCCGCACTTCCGCACATGTACCACACGGTAAATCTTCTCGTTTTTTGTTTTTTTTCCTCCTCCCTCACTTGCTCTCAAACGAAAAGTTTAAGCAGCGCGCAACAAGCAACCGCAGCCGAATAAGCCCGTTTTCCGCTCAAATCGGCCCCTCAGCCGTCCTCGCAGGGCAAGGAACGACAAAGCCCGACTCCCGTGTCCCCGCCGAGGCGTCCGGTGACCTTGCAAGCTCGAGTCCGTTCGTTGCTACAAGCCAGACCGTCAACGGGAGAGCTTTCACGCGTGCAGAGGTCCAGGGACGCCTATGAGAGTACCCGCACACAGACACATTACCCTCCCCTCCTCCAGAGTAGAGCACAAGTTTCGTCAACGCGACACTCCGAAGCACGCGAGCTTAACGCGCACTGTATCGTATACTCGGGCGACTACGAGCGATCAGCGAGCGTTTGTCTTAACTGTACCGTGGAATTTTATTTGTGCATGGGTTGTGCGTATACGTAGGGAGGAAGAGCTGGCAGTGGCTTCGCTCAGGGTCGCGGCTAGCCGGCAACTACCGGCACTTGGGTATCGCGAAGCCAACTCTCCCGCCCCTCTGCCGACTACCACCACCATCAGCACCGTTATCCACCGGGTGGACTCGCGCAGGCGCGCCGCTCTCTCCTTTCTTCTCATTCATGTATTCCTCACCCCCACCCCCCTTCTTGCGGTCCGCGAACAAACGAGCTTACGATGTTTAACGAAAACTAATTCGAGGTGAGGCTTCTTTATTCTTTCGAATGCACGTGGTTTGTCAAAGAGTGTCGGGGGAAAACTTCACTCCTCAAGTGTAGAATCGCGTAGTACACACAGGCCAATTGTTCCAGTGAGAGGTATTTAAGGGGAAAAAAAAAAATCATCAAAATTCCAGGATACGAAAGTTTTTTTTTGGGGGGGGATGAGGATTCGCTCGTGCAGGTATGCACAAGTATATGATGCACACTACGTACGTGTATCATCCCTCGGGCGCTCAAAGTATATCCCCTCTTTTGATTCGTCCTATTCCTTGCCCTTTGCATGTGCGATGCTGCTCATTCGTCTGTTTCTCCCCCTCCTCCGGGTGGTAATCCTGTAGGGTATTTGTGTTTTTCGCTTAGCGCGCGAAACGAAGGGTAAAGAGAACGCGTACGTAAATCGTAGAGTAAAGGGTTGTACATTAGCTTGAAGGGGTGAATGGGTGGGTGGGGGGGGGTTCAACTTTGATAGTTCAAAGTGGGATTGCAGGAGAATCCGGCCAAGTTCGAGGGAGAGAGGGAGAGAGTGTGTGCCGGGGCGTATCGATTCGCTCGGTATTGTAATGCTCGGCGGAAATAATCTCCGAGAGCTTATTTCGAAGAAAAACAATCCACCGGGAAAACGAGCGGGGTGGAGGTAGGGGGATGGCGTTCGTTTGGTGCGGACAATGGATATCGGTTACTCTGCGCATCTAATCGAAACAATAAGATTAACGCGCTCGCTCTCTGCGCGCGTGTGTGTACGTATCGTAAATCAAAGGGGATTATGGTGTGCGCGGATGGGCGGCAGATTTTGCATTACCTGCAATTATACGTGATATGCAAAACTCGACTCACGTGCAGTACAATCGCGCGTTTCTGGCGTTTGCTCGCGGGATTTCGACGTTTCCCTTGTTGTTGCTTACGAAAGGGCTCGGCATGGTAATGTTTAACGTTTGGCGGGGGGGAGCTCTCGTTTGTGGATCAGAGTTGGCTAATTGGGCGGATCGGGTGGTTCGTGTGTAGTTGGGTTGATCGGGAACAGTTTTTTTTTTTTTTTTTACATTTTCCCGGTCATTGGTTTACTCTAGGCTCCTTGAAAATAATACCTCGGCAAATTTGTATAAGCGCGCCGTCAATGGAAGCCGTCAATCTTGGGAAATGATAGCGTCGATAAAAAGAAAGCACCCCATCGACTCGTTCCGCCCGTGTGTATAACCCAGTCCCGGTCGAGATCAATCGAGAAGGGAAAGCCCGAGAAGGAAATAGCTGATCGGCACTATTTTTTGCTGTTTGTTTTTTTTTTTTTTTTTTTTTTTTTTTTTTTTTTTTTTTTTTTTTTTTTTTTTTGTCTTTTTATCTCTTATTTGTAATTTCTAATTCTTTTACACGTGCAGAATTGAGGCACGAACACTTTTTCGAGTTTTTTTATAAAAAAAAAAAAATACAAATGCATCATTCGAGCTTGACAAAAAAGTTTTTTTTTAATTACGACTTGTAACAGGGTGCCAGGAAAAAAATTTTCCAGGAAAAAGAATGCGTTAAAATTAAAATTAAAAAATGATTAAATCTGCTTATATATTTATTTTTCAAATCATTGTACGTGAAGAAAGTTTTTTGTATTATTCATCAATGTTTTTTGCTCAGTATCACGCACCGCATTACGTTGTTTATTAAACAATATATTTAGGCAGAAGAAAAAAGACAAAGCAAATAAGCGATGCGTCATTAAGAGAAAATCCCTTCCAGTCCACCCCTGACTGGTAGAAAATACAACGTGAAAGTTGCTAAGCTTATCAAGAAAAGCCTCCCCTCCTTCGCCAACGGCGTGAACTTTGGGTGGTCGCAAAAATCCGGGAAATTCGCCGATAGGACTCGCGAATGAATCATAGCCCCCTGAGCAGCTGGAGCTCGGTTTATTTGGTAAAAATTTACGCCGCGCAAATACACCATGAAAATTTCTCCCCGAGCGAAAAGGTAGATGACGCCGCGGGGGCTGGAAAAAAGGGGGGGAGTTTGATGGGTGTTTTTCTCTCGCTAACGTCGTCGTCGTAAATTTTCCCCCGCGCCCACCACGCGAGGCCTCCGTCTTGTGTTATTCTTTTAAAAGGCTGCCTGATGGACTGCCTCCCCCGACCCCCCGGTATATTCGTTTTCTTTTGAATTATACGTCCCATCCAGCGTGCCTCTTTTCCCCGTTTCTCCGGATGATTCAAGGTATCGCTATTACCTTCCTCATCAAATACAACGGACAATCCTCCTTTTTACTATCCGACAGACGCGTGAAAAAAAAACTCCTATGATTATACCCCAATTTCAAGTCCATCCGACTCATTGGACCCAGAGGAGATGAGCGTTGGTGGAATCAAGGGAGCCCCACTCGTAACGAGCTTGTTTTTCCGCGGATGCAGCAACAATACCGCCAGCATCATCCCTAGGTCAAAAGCCGCAGCGAAATCAATTTCCCAGCGCGCGCATTACGTATACGAGCGAGCTCATCCCCTAAAAGGTGGTGCGTCTCCCCCCCCCCCTACTTTGACCCGTATAAATTGGAATTTACGAAGCCACGAGACATAAAAGGTTATCCGACTCTCTTTCGGCCGAAATCTACGGAACGGCCCGAGCCCGGATCGTGTCTGGCCATAAGCAGCGATCGCAGATAGGAAGCTGGGCCAGGAAGGATTATGTGTATGTGCACGTGTACGTACAAGGTGTTTCGTGTCTGGATCCATCCTTGGCGTTCATCTCTCCCATATCCGTGGACACGCGCGATGTTACATTCAGAACAAGTTGGACGCGTGTAAACTCGTCTTTTTTTTTTTTTTTTATTTTTATCTTGCAAAGTGCATACACGGGACAATGCCGATCTAGCGGCTTTTGATACATCGTGCGCGCCATTTGTCTCGCCGTCTCTAATTACACTTCCACGATGATGCATTGCGACCTGAGATGTATATACGCCCTTTTTTTTCAACACATTTGACAACTCGTTTCCTCGCGTTAGGGGGGAAGGACAAAAGTTACGCGCGTCGAGAGAAATCCAATCCCGGCGAACGTATTGAAAAGCCACTTGGCACCATTTGCCCGAGGGGTTTTCCAAATTTTCGTCCCGAATACGTAATCACGCGCGTCTGGAATGCGTCCAAGCGCATAATATGTAACACACTCCGGCGCTGCGTCGCAAAATAAATACGATACACGAGGGGACATTGAAACCACACGTGAAAATTATTTAATAATCATTCGCTGGTGTCGCGAATTCGTAATTTTGCGTCACATGGATGAGAATTTTTTTTTTCCGTCACGCGACGCTTCGGGTGTATAATATACATATCTATAATCATTTGTTTCATGCGAAGCGAACGAAGCTGGGCAATATATATATTATGAACTAAAATTGGCTCTGTTGCGATGATTTACTCGATACAGCAACGAGAAAAAGCTAATAAATATTAAATTGAGTGTATTTACAAAACGAGTATATTATATTTGAAGGAAGGGGGGGAAAAAGCAAAATAAAGTTAGCAAACGAGATCGAAGCGCAAGCAAGCACCAGAAGGGATAGGCACATAACGCGATATCGCGCGGAAAAGAACGACACACACACACGAGCGTGGGAAGGGGAAAATGGGCTTAACCGTGGGCGCAGATAAGTCGATTTAACGGCGTCTGGAAGGACCTGCAGAAAGAGAGAGAGAAAGGGGGGGACTACCATAGCACACATGCACCTCTTAAAACCATATGTATATATATATGCGGGCGAGGCGTTTGCTCTCCGGGTCTAAGCCGATGTCGCAGATAGCGGTCCGAGATTTTGGTTTTCCCGGTGACAAAGGGATGCCACCTAACTGGGGGTATAACCGTGAACACATACGGCACCACTGCAATGGTGTATCTTTAATACACGTTGTATGGCAGCAGACGCTTGCCGTGGAAATAGGATTTTCGACGAGGAAAGAGAACGGCGTGTTTTTTTTTCAAAAAAAAAAAAAAAAAAAAAAAAAAAACAAACAAAT